TGGCTCTAATGGGAAATAAATACAAATGAGAACAACGTGACTCATTTTTTGTCTATTGATTGGGATGTTGGTGACAGCATTGTTGCAAATTGGATGTATAATACTCATGAAAAATGTTGCAATGTGCTTAGTTTTTTTTTTTTTTTTTTTTTTTTTGCTCCTAGTTGTGGATTTGTATTCGTTGAAATATCTAATTGGGTCTAGAGTCGTTAACTGAAAGTCTCTGTTAATGGAGAGAAACCCCCAAATATTATTACTCATCAAGTTATTAGTTAAAAAAAAGAAGTTATTTTTGGGTCGAGTAAGGTTCTTGTTGGGTTAGGTTAGGTTAAGTCCTTGTATTCGATTTTGCCCCTCGACCCATGCATCCTCGCGTTAACTGAACCCATAACTACCAACCCCTGTCTCTCAGTGAGGACCCAACATCGCCCAATTCACCCATGCCCAACAAGTCTTAACCTCAACCCACTTCCACAACCCATGCTTCCAACCCCAACCCCAACTCATAACACAGAGAAAACCCACAACCCACATCTTAATAACACAACTTACATCCTTCTACCTCTATCTGCCACCCACGCCCTCAACCCACCACCCACGCCCTCAACCCATCCGCACCCAACCCACCACCCACGCCCTCAACCCACCCGCACCCAACCCACACCCACGCCTCAACCCACCACCACGCCTCAACCCACCACCCGCCCTCAACCCCACGCCCTCAACCCCACCACCACGCCCTCAACCCACGCCCTCAACCCACCACCCGCCCTCACCCACGCCCTCAACCCACCCCCTCAACCCACCACCCACGCCCTCAACCCACCCCCTCAACCCATACCCTTCTATAACAGCACTTGCAACAGCTGTCACGTTTATAACAATGAATATACAGTAGTACTTGAATCTCCTAGCTGTCACCATATGTAACCGATGTATATTGTTGGTAGTCCCGCCACTTAACACCTTATGTAACAGTGTGGTAATTGGTTGTCACATTAATAACACTGCTGGTGATTGCGGGTCGTCACCGCTGTCCCACCTTATTATAACCAATGGTGATTGTCTTTAATTCCCACTCGAGTTGTCACCTTAATGTTACCTTGGGACTTTAGCTTGTAGGTCTATGTTGTCTTCACCACTGTTATGTTTGTTATGGTGTTTTAAGAATAGTTGATGATCACACAAAACGCTATATATACTCTTTGGCTTTCTTAGTTTATGATGGTAAGTAGGTGCACGCTACTGTATGTTGTGTGAAGACGAATTAACCGATGATGGGCAACTGTCTTGTACGAGAGACGACAGGAGGTTATTTACAGAACCTTTAACTCGTCCCACTAACCCTCACTCACAACCTTCTACTTCCCACACTCAGATCAACAAACCATACCCTTCTACATCAACCCACAACCCATCAGCCTTCTACCACAACCCATCAACCCACGCTCTACTACCCCCACACGCAGACTCAGTCCTTTGTGTCACATTCTAGGTAGGAGAGGGATGAACAACTCTGTCGACGGCTGTAAGGAACAAAGGCGAGGATTGAAGGTATGCAAATCTAATTCTGGGAGTGCTATGGCGGCCTCTGACTGTACGTGATGCTTCCATAGAGAGGCGCCGCACGTCCTGGATATTATAATCTCGCGTCTGGCAAGGAGGGAGGGGATGAATTATCGTTTATAGTGTGGTGATTTGATTTTGCCGCTTGCAGCGGCTACTTTATTGTGCACCCCACACTCATCCTGTGAGCGGTAGCGCAAAAGGATTACAGAGTAGGGTTTACAAAGGGTCATAATAATTAACCCCGGTTGTCAGGATATTATGGCACCGAAAGTTACACAGTATTTCATTTACATTATTTGTTTAGTTCTATACATAAAGGGTAACTTATTCACAAATGTGTGAGAACAGGCGTGTGAGGCAGTATGTCTGGCCTCACACTTTGTTATTCACATTTACGTGGGAGGTATTCAAGCACATTGCGTATTTGGTTCTGTACATGAGAACTGATATAGTTACTGAGTGCAAAAAAGTGGATACAATCTTAATATGTCGGCTATCTTGCCATTAGAGATGAAGTGTTGTGCCATTTCACACACAGTGTGCTTGGACCTGTCCCTAAAAGGTTCTATCTTCACACAGTCGAGGACGTAGTGTTCAAGTGTGTGGCCATATGTATAGCCACACACTTTACATTTAGTTTTGTTTACATCTGCTTGAGGAACATACTGCCAGAGGTACTTATATCCTAACCTTAATCTAGTTACAACATCTTGTAATCTAGTGATCTTGTTACTTGCTCCATATACATGTTTCCTTGATACATCTCATCATGGTAAACTATGGATCGACTAGTGCCTGTTTGCACTTGTCTACTTGCGTCAAACTCATCAATAAGTTCTTTCCTAATTACAGTTTTAAGGGTTCTTTTTGACAGACCCAAATTGTATTCAACGGTGTCTTTGTTAGACGCGAGTTTGGCGAGGGCATCAACTCTGTCATGTTTTATGAGGCCTATGTGAGAGGGGATCCACAACAGTTTGACCCTGACACCCCGGTCAACAAGGCACGCATATTTGTGTCTGGCTTCAGAGACAAGATCGTGACAACCTGAGTCGAGGGTACCAAGGGCAAGTAGTGAGGATAGAGAGTCAGTGATGATGAGACTGTCAGAGTATGGTAACTGATTCAGTTTGTAGAGTGGATGCCCAGTTGTTAACTCTAACTCCTTTCTCAATTATATTACCATCAGGTTGAGTCACAACAATAGCACTTCCAGCCCTCCCACAGGCGGTGTTAAGAGATCCATCAGTGTAGATGGTCTGTGTGATATTATCATCAGTCTGTAGAGTGTGTATGTGTTCAAGGGCTCTCAATTTGGCAGTGTGTTGGAGATAAATGCTTTGTATAATTAATTTTTTAGGCGGATACGTCGGTATTGTGATATCGAAGGGACCTGTCCGCCAGGGTGGCAGGAAGCGCTGTTGTGTCTCAACTTTGTACAGGTGGTCTAGTCCAAATATCTTCATATGTGTAGCTGTAGTTTGGATCCATTTAGACTCAGTAGTCCCATGGTTCATACATTCTAGCAATTTTAAGGAAACAATGTTATCAGGATCACCACGCAGAAGCCTCAGGGCTATCATGAGGTTGACTTCAATTATTCTATCTTTAACCCTGGGTATACCTAGTTTTTTCCTCATATTAAGTAATTTAGTGCTCATGGGACATCCT